CGAACGTCACACACTTTTTTCTCAATTGCTATTACAAATGGCTGCTTCTCAACCGGTCAGATCTGTTCTAATTGGTTCATGCCCGATATCGAGTCTTTACATTAAAGCCTGGTTTTCATTAGGTCATATTTGACGTCAAATGTTGTCAAAATAATGAAAACGGGTTGTCATCTGTTGTCATTTGCGTTTGTTGTCATATATCTCCACGCACGGTCATATAAAATGACATCCAAATGAAAACGGCCCTCGGCGCTGACAACCAAAATGTATTTGCCAACATGTTGGCAATTTTGATTTCGTTTGCCATGCGAACAGCTGATTCTAGCCACAATACGGACCGTTAAGCTACAAAAAAAACAAAAATGCAGATCACGCAGATTTCAACCATACCCAATTTATTTGGGGCAAGAAAAAAAAAAACAAAGAAAATATAACAGGTTAAACTTCAACTTTCCTATTTTTTATATGTGTATATATCTCGGAAACTACTTGACCGATTAGAAAAGTATTGATGCCAATTCACAGATAATTTTAATAGTTTTTTTACGACGTATTTACTATAACCATTTTTAAAACGAATTTTTGGTAAACGCTGTTTAAAAAAAACTATATACACTTTCGATTTTTACCACTACTTTCGCTAAATTTTTCCCTATAACAAACCTTTCTATATAAGGTTAACTTCTGCTTTCTAAATATNGAAGCAAAAGAAAAAAGTAATTTTCTGGCTGACATTTGTAATTTCGGCGCCATGTTATTTTCTGTGAAAAGTAAACAAAGAATATGAAGACGAAGCATAAAGAAAAAATGCAAGCAATGTTGTGCACTTGTTTGTGCTAACCAATTTATTATTTTTGTACGTGTTTTTGCATCCAATCACCGCGCACTTAATTTTAATTACATTTGCACAAAAAATCACTTAAAAACCACTGAAATAAACCACCGACAAAATACACATAAAGAAATAAGCAAAACAGAAATAGCTAACTTAAAATTACGAACGTCACACACTTTTTTCTCAATTGCTATTACAAATGGCTGCTTCTCAACCGGTCAGATCTGTTCTAATTGGTTCATGCCCGATATCGAGTCTTTACATTAAAGCCTGGTTTTCATTAGGTCATATTTGACGTCAAATGTTGTCAAAATAATGAAAACGGGTTGTCATCTGTTGTCATTTGCGTTTGTTGTCATATATCTCCACGCACGGTCATATAAAATGACATCCAAATGAAAACGGCCCTCGGCGCTGACAACCAAAATGTATTTGCCAACATGTTGGCAATTTTGATTTCGTTTGCCATGCGAACAGCTGATTCTAGCCACAATACGGACCGTTAAGCTACAAAAAAAACAAAAATGCAGATCACGCAGATTTCAACCATACCCAATTTATTTGGGGCAAGAAAAAAAAAAACAAAGAAAATATAACAGGTTAAACTTCAACTTTCCTATTTTTTATATGTGTATATATCTCGGAAACTACTTGACCGATTAGAAAAGTATTGATGCCAATTCACAGATAATTTTAATAGTTTTTTTACGACGTATTTACTATAACCATTTTTAAAACGAATTTTTGGTAAACGCTGTTTAAAAAAAACTATATACACTTTCGATTTTTACCACTACTTTCGCTAAATTTTTCCCTATAACAAACCTTTCTATATAAGGTTAACTTCTGCTTTCTAAATATTATAAATTTCTGTAGCATTAATTATGCGATTTTCTTCAAAAAAGGTAATTTACTGAAAATAGAAAAGTATTGATGCCAATTCAAAGATAATTTTAACAGATTTTTTACGACGTATTTACTATAACCATTTTTAAAACGAATTTTTGGTAAACGCTGTTTAAAAAAAATATATACAGTTTCGATCTTTACCACTACTTGCGCTAAATTTTTCCGTATAACAAACCTTTCTATATAAGGTAATAACTTGTGCTTTCTAAATAATATAAATTTCTGTAGCATTATTTATGCGATTTTCTTCAAAAAAGGTAATTTAATGAAATTTTTTTTGTTTTAGTATTTTTGACTTAAAAATAAAAAAAACAGAAAAATTATGTAGATCGACTAAAATATAAACTAATCATCTTTATTTTGACATCATTGGTTCTTTAATCGGTTATGTAGTTCATAAGATATTGATATTTCAAAATATCGAAAAATGTAACTTAACCTCCTATATCTCCTTAATTATTTACTTGCGCAAAATAATTTTGATAAGGTTGAAATCAGCATGAAGAGTTCTATCCAATTCCATTTTTGGTTTGTCTATAGCTAAAAGGTGGTATTCTACACTTTTTATAAAAATTTNAAGTTTTTTGTTAGATTTGTGACAGCAATATGATAATACGTGCGGTTGGTTCACGATACCCCGGCACAAGCCACGATTCTTTCGTATGGAATGTAAGCAATGCGCGGCAATATTTTCTACGGGAATATGCAAATGGAGACCGATCATCCAGACTACTGGGCGATTCCGGATGTGGTATCGATGCATTTATGTTAACACCCTATTGGGATCCCCAATATGCAACTCAACAATACAAATTTAATAACGCGAATTCCTCAGCCCGCAACATAATAGAGCGAACTATAGGTGTTTTGATTTCGTTGCTTGCAAAAAACTTTACACTATCAAACTAAGAAGGTAGTTAAAATTGTAAATGTCTTTTGCGCGCTGCATAACATCTGTCGGCAGTATAATGTAGAATGGAATGAAAATGCTAATTTTACTGCATCAGAAAATGTTCATGAAGACACTTTTATGCTGCAAAACAGTAAAATACAAAATGAGGGCCGTAGAATAAGGGATGAGATAGCTAATAGTCTTTAAGCAATAATGCCTTACAACATTGTATACTATGGTCTATGTTCCATGCAAACTTTGAATTTATTTAGGAGGTAGAGAGAAACGGAGGTATTAATTAATGTATAAAAGATATTAAAGGAAATAGTTTATGTGTTTATGGAAACACCAACAACGCAAATGCAAATAGTTTACTCTGCATTTACATACGTGTTTTACGACTTCTTTTTTAATTACAGATAATTAATGCACGCGTTTTGCATGTAATGCATTTTACCAAACTTGTGTATTTAACTTTAAATTTACCCACGTGGTCCAATGAACAAGCTATTGAGCAACAATACAAGAGAGTACACCACTTGTGAACGGGTGACGTAATCGTGGTGTTATATACAAAATTTGGGGTCGTACTTTCGTATCGCTCTATTAAGGCCAATAAGGAAATTAATGATTATTGAAGCATGAATATGAATATTCCCTTTTTGCTTTGAATAATTATTTTGCAGGTATCATCGGCGACCGTATCTTGCGCCAGTACCCATTTAACCAACAACGGGCACATGTCAAGAATGTCAATGAGGATTTTGTGGAATTGCTGATTCTGCTACGAAACTATGGCAAGCTGGTGAAAGTGCATACGAAAATGTAAAAAGTACCTCACGAAAAATGTCAGCCTTTTGAGGTACTTAGGCGGGTTGGGTACTTAAAAGAACCCGCTTAAGTACCCCGATGCGGGTACTTAAGCGAAGATAATTATTGATGTAGTTACATCTTTTTGTTAACTTACAAAAATATCTAAATCCTTGAATACAACATAAACATTTAATGAAGTATACGAACTTATTTAAGATTTTTAATTAAAATACAGTTCGTTCCCTAACAAATACCATGTAAACCTAAGATTAAGATTTTATAGAACACTTAAAGAAAAAAATTCATCAAATTTTAATTTTTTTTCTCAGATGTGTTTTTTGAGTATACAGTTATAGCCCATTCAATTCTATAGCCCATTCAATTCTAGTGTGATAATGTGCAAGTTTCAAGTGGCTAAAAATTACCGTTGATTTTTTATAATTCTTTTGCCGAAGGTGTGTAACGCTGCCACTGAGATTCAAAATATGTAAATATTTTAAGGAATTTTAAAAGAGGAAAATTATAGGTAAAATGGTAAAAGGGGTACGAAAAATTGAGGTACTTAGGCGGGTTGGGTAAATAACCGGGGAGGTACTTAAGAGAGGGATTTTCTTCAGATTACATTCACATTGCCCAAAAATGTTGGTGACTTAAGCGGGTTAAGTACTTAAGCGGGGGGTACTTAAGCGGGTTTCACTGTTCAAATAAGAGATTTACATACAGTCACTCACAGAAGTATTCGTAATTTAGTTTTAGAAAGTTTAGAAAGTTGAAAATTTTTATGAAAGTTTGTCAAGTTTTCCTAAATTTTGTAAAACCTTTGCATCATTATTTTATATACCATTAGATGCAAAAATTGACGAAAGAAATGTACACAAAATATTGCAAATATTAAAAAATACACCGTACGGAAACATATTCTGGCTAGTTTGTGCCTACAAGTAAATAATTCGGTATTATTTATATACATACATGCATTGGTACATTTAAAAAAGTGTTGTTCAAAAATATAGAAAACTAAAACATTCATTCTTGGGAATACTTATAAAACTAATTTGTACTAAAAATGTGAAGGTACATATCTGAAATTAAAAAGGTTCACAACCTATTTAGACAGCAAGTCTTATAATTATTCCGAATCTCCTCTTCACGTTTTCTAGCAACTCAATAATTTTGGCATTAAAGGTCGTAAACTCCTGCGTTAAGTTATTAACGGCATTAATTAGTAGCCTATTCGATTAATTTCCTTCCTGTTGAATTTTTAACATAGCGTCCATTTTATTTCGGACGTCCTGCTTCCATTCCATATCCAACTGCATAAATTTGTTTAGACGCTCACTTGTGCTTTTCTTCGCTGTTGGGTTTTGAACTTGCAGACATTGAAGGCGTGGACGTTTCGCAGAAGTTGAAGGCATGTCATCGTCACTAGATATGAGGTACTCTTCCTCGAGACCAAGTGCTGATCCTGAGACACCTTCAACACTTTGCACAATTCCGGAAGTACGCACAATACTCTCCTCCGTCTGGGTCAGTGTATTCTTGGAAAAGGGTCCTCCACCAGTGGCGCGTTCCTCGGCTTTATTCTGCACCAACTTCTTCTTCACCTCACTCTTCCAGTCCGTCCATACCTGAAATTAGAAGAAAATTAGAGAGTAACGAACGGTTTGGCCATTATGCACGAGTACGCTTTGTTTATTGCCCCTTTCCAACCAGTTATATACTTTGTAGGCGGGCCAGCACTGTTTAGTGATTCGGATAGTTGCTGACAAAGGGAGTCTACTAATTGTTTATCCCTTTTTGTAAAGCCCTTGGCGATGTCCGGGTACTTCTCCATAAATTGCAGGAGTATATCATTTTGTGCCCTATTCTTATGTTTTCTCCTGGAAATACATATAGTTACACATTCAACCACCACACTCCCAACGTCATTACCAATATCTCCAATACCAACAACAACAACTACAACAAACTCTATTAGTCCGATATTTAAGTCAATGGATACCGACCATACCAATTATAAACACACTTAATTCGACACCACACAATGCACAGTAGCGGGCAACGTACACACATCCATACANAAGTCAATGGACACCGACCATACCAATTATAAACACACTTAATTCGACACCACACAATGCACAGTAGCGGGCAACGTACACACATCCATACATACATGCACCGGCTACATATGTAAATTTGAGACTACACAATGCATAAATCAACATACACATACATACGTACATGCGTAGATACATGTTTATTGCAAGCATAAGTAAGATCAAGTGAAGCAGTACCTCACGCCTCATCTGCAATTAAAAGTAAATCACCGGAGTAACATAAGTACTCATAAACCTTACTCCACTGCAAGTGTTAAGTAGCATGAAATAGCTAGAAATTAATGTTTGCATTCCAAAAGATGAAATTGGAGCGATCGAATTCTGATTGGTCAAATTCGATCATGCCACTCCAGGAATAAGGTATAAAAGAGGAATTTGCAAACTTTGCAAATCAGTTCTATTTCTAAAGTGAAAGTGACCAGTTCAGGTAGAAGTTCCAGTTCCGGATCCAGCTCTAGGATTGCAGTGTTCCTGATGTTCCTGATAGCAAGTATAATTATAACCAACTCATAATTTAATTCTTCCCTTCGCAGCTCTTATTTATTAGAAAACCAATTTAATGAATAAAAACCACGATCTTGTAATTTAAAGAAAGAATATCTTTTATTTTAAAATAGAGTCACAACGTGATTCTATTATTGGCGCAGTCTCAACTAACTTAAGCGAAGGAGTTTTCTTAAAAAGTATAAATTTTTTTTTAAAGAAAAAAGATTTTATTCTTGGGTTCAGACCGAAAATCCTGAAAAGAATATTTCAATCTTATAAAAATTTTTATACAAAAGAAAAAGAATCCGGTAAAACAATTGTAAATCGAATATTACATTTGTGTATATTGAGCATTTTATGAAACCTTATTATATACCAAGGAGAGTATCAGAAGAAGACGAGGACACCATGGCAACTTCAGCACAAGGATCATTAGGACAAGGAGCAGTAGGGGGAAATTTCGAAATCAATTTCGATCCACTCAAATTCATTAATCGAATGGGTGAGTATAATGGTAGCAGTGCGGCAGAACTTGTACAAATCGTGACCAAAGTAGAATTTTTAATAAATAGTATGAGTAGTTATTCTGTAAAATCAAGAAAGTTCGTAGTACTACAGATAAGGGATAAAATCGTAGGGAAAACGAATACCACATTACTAAGATATAGTATAGACAATACTAGCTGGGAGGATATCAAAAGGATATAAGTAGAAAATTTCAGTGAGAGAAATACGTTCTTACAGTTGAGGGAAATTGCAGAAAGGATTCAGCATAAGAATATAACTCAAACGTATAATGAATTATCTAGTATTTTAACGCGAATGAACAATAAGTATCATTTGTCGGAAGAAAAATCGATAGATAGAAAACCCGAATGTAACGAAGAAGCAATTTTAAACTTATTTAAAGAAAAAATCCCAATTAACGCGGCAAGCATTATAATTTCGCGGGATATTAAAACTTTATTCGAAGCGTATAGGATTTTAGAACAAAATAATTGGACGCGGTCGGATAGGAAGTATCAATTTACAAAGTTTAATTCGAGTGATGTGAACAAAAGTGATAAAAATAAATATACAAGTGCACCACGAAATTATCAGAATTATCAACGCTATCAAAATGTGAATCAGAACCAACAAAATCAAGTGAATCAACCAAGTGATTTAAATATAAATTATAATCAATGGCAAAACAAACAACCCACAGTGAATGCAAGACAGCAGAATGTGAACATGCAACAAAACTATCAACCAACACAGTTTACTCGCGGTAATACGAGGCAAACAAAAAGGCAAGTGGCAGAGCCTATGGAAATTGATAATGTTTTAGTTGAAAACTTTGCAGAAGAAGCTCAAAAAAAGGAGAGTCCCAATAATCGAAGTGAACATTGGAGGAATACCAGTGAAACTTTTAGTGGACTCAGGCGCAGAGGCATTTATTATTAATAGAGGAGTTTTCCCAAGGGAACTAGAAAGCAAATTAGAAGANAGAGCCTATGGAAATTGATAATGTTTTAGTTGAAAACTTTGCAGAAGAAGCTCAAAAAAAGGAGAGTCCCAATAATCGAAGTGAACATTGGAGGAATACCAGTGAAACTTTTAGTGGACTCAGGCGCAGAGGCATCTATTATAAATAGAGGAGTTTTCCCAAGGGAACTAGAAAGCAAATTAGAAGATCCGAGAATAATAATAACCGGAAAGAAGAAGGAAATCGCGGATACATATATCTTGACGTGGTTACCAAGAAAATTTAAGGATAAAAGCAAAACAATCGTAACTTTCTTAGTTATGGACGCGTTTGAGGATAAACCTTATAATGGAATATTGGGAAACGATGTTCTAATTCCATTACAAATGGAATTATCCTACAAAACGAACATAATGAAAGTGAACGGACAGGAAATACGTTTTAGAAATTTAGAAAGCCACAAAGAAAATGAACATTTTCCTAAAAGAAAAGAAAACACAGGTTTATATAAAAATAGAGAAGGAAAGGCTTTTATAAGCGTGTATGATCTCGATAGTGACAGGGAATATGTCAACGAGGATACCAAAGAAGAAGAGGAGTTTAAACTAAATATGAAAGATTTGTTTAACGAAGACTATATAAAAGATTATTACGTACATGAATCTAAAGAATATATCCATGATATAATGGAAACGGAGGAAATACAAACAGAAAATGTAAGTAAAAATGAAATTTTTAAAAAATTGCAAAACGATGCAATGAGTCTTGAGGAAAAACGAGAATTGCAAAAAATTATTAAAAACAATAGAGAATTATTTTTTAAAGAGGGGGATAATTTAGCAAGCGTAAAAGATGCACACTATTGACACAGTCACTAATAAACCTATTTATACTAAACTTTACAGGTACCCCGAGGTTCATATTCAGGCAGAAATAAAGAAACAAATCGATGAAATGGAAAACAATGGAATCATAAAGAAGAGCTTTTCACCATATAATGCACCCTTATGGATAGTTCCAAAGAAAATGGACAATTCAGGAGTTCAGAAATGGAGAATAGTCATCGACTATAGGAAATTAAATGAGGTAACTACTGAAGATAAATTTCCTATTCCAAATATAGACAGTATATTTGACAAACTGGGAAAGGCACAATACTTCTCAACACTAGATTTGGCTAAAGGATTTCATCAAATCTTAGTGGATCCCAGGGACAGGCATAAAACCGCTTTTTCAACTGAGTATGGACATTACGAATACGTAAGAATGCCATTCAAATTGACAAATGTTCTTTTTTTTTTAAAAAAGAAACAGATTTCTTAGGACATATTATTACAAACCAAGGATTAAAGCCAAATCCAAAAAAGATTGAGTCAATTCAAAAAATTAAATTACCAACTACAGTGAAGGAAATTAAATCATTTTTAGGCATAACTGGATACTATAGAAAATTTATCAAAGATTACAGTAAAATTGCGTATCCAATAGTGAAATACCTAAAAAAAGACTAGAAAATAGATAGAAATTATATAAAATATATCAATGCATTCGANAAGAAAATAGATAGAAATGATATAAAATATATCAATGCATTCGAGAAATTAAAACAACTTCTCATAGATTATCCAATTTTAAAATAGCCAGATTTTGAGACCCAGTTTGTCTTAACAACAGACGCAAGTACATTCGCAATTGGTGCTGTACTTTCTCAAGACGGACATCCTATTTGTTATGCAAGCAGAACGCTTTGCGACAGTGAAAAGAACTATACAACAATAGAAAAGGAACTATTAGCCATAGTTTGGGCATGCAAATATTTTAAACCATATTTGTATGGAAAACGTTTTAAATTACAAACTGATCATAAACCTTTAATTTGGTTAAATAATTTAAAAGAAGAAAACAGTAAATTTACAAGATGGAAATTGGCACTTAATGAGTATTCATTTAATATCGAATATATTAAAGGAAAAGAAAATAACGTAGCGGACTTTTTGAGTAGATTACAAGTAAACGCATTGGAAGATATGGACATAGATGAAACACAAGACGATGTACAGTCTTCATGTGCAACTATACATAGTGCAATAGAGGATACAAATGATCACATTTGGATCACAGAGAAACCAATTAATTTGTTTAAAAATCAAATTATTATCACTGTAGATAAAGTGAATAGTGAGGATATTCACGAAACAACCATTTTCAAAAACAAACGAATTTTCATTTATGAAAATGTGATAAATGAAAATTTCGGGGAAATTTTAAAGAATTTAAACTTAAAGAATTTTATGGTATATTGTCCGAATGAAAGCAAATACATACAATTTCAAAGGCATTTATTAAAACCCTTGGAAATTCAAGTATCAAGGCATTAAAAAGCATTATCTTTTTGGATGATATCGAAGACGAAGAAAAAGCCTTCGAAATCATAGAAAAAGAACATGTAAGACTTAATCATCGCGGAATTGATGAAAATTTCAAAGAATTAAAAGCTAAAATTTATATTCCAAAATTTAAACAATTAGTAACAAGGTATATAAACAATTGTGAAATTTGTCAATGGAGATTTTTATATTGCGGAAAGGCAAATATTTTTTACGTTTATTGACAAATTCAGCAAACATTTGTTTATAGCACCTATAACTGATAGAAACAGTCAAATATTTATTGAAACCTTAAATTATAGGCATTCAATATTTGGAAAACCAAGTAAATACGTTTTTGATAACGAATTTAATAACTCATACATGAGAGAATATTTTAATACTGAAGAGATCTATGTAGATTTCACATCACCACTAGTCAAAACGGGTAATGGTGACTTTGAAAGAGTACACGGTACAATTAATGAACACCTTCGTCTTTTAAAATCACAAAATAATAAAGAACCAATTTTAAAAAGAGTAATAAAATCGGTACATTTTTATAATAGTAGCATTCATTCTACTATAAATAAGAGACCAGTTGATTTTGTGACAAACAAAATTACAAATGAAGAATTCTCAAAAATAAGAGAACAAATAATAAAAAAGTAAATCATGTCCATTAATAATAAAAACATAACAAGAACTGACAAAGTTTTAATCGATAAATACGATATTTTTGTAAAAGTAGATAGGATAAGAAAGAGTGACCCGAAATATAAAAAAATAAAAGTAAAATTGAATAATGGAAAAGTGTTAGATAATAGAAATAGACACATACATCCACAGAGAATTAAGAGGAAACACAAATTTGCAAAATAATTACTTAATTAATTATATTGTTATTTTTCTTTCCATTTTCAGTCTTACTTATATTTTTATCAACTATAATTTTGGTTGACGCAAAAGATATAAAGATAACACCACTAAATTATGAAACGGGTTATACTATTCTAAAGAAAGAAAAGCTGGATGTAAAATANCATTCAATATTTGGAAAACCAAGTAAATACGTTTTTGATAACGAATTTAATAACTCATACATGAGAGAATATTTTAATACTGAAGAGATCTATGTAGATTTCACATCACCACTAGTCAAAACGGGTAATGGTGACTTTGAAAGAGTACACGGTACAATTAATGAACACCTTCGTCTTTTAAAATCACAAAATAATAAAGAACCAATTTTAAAAAGAGTAATAAAATCGGTACATTTTTATAATAGTAGCATTCATTCTACTATAAATAAGAGACCAGTTGATTTTGTGACAAACAAAATTACAAATGAAGAATTCTCAAAAATAAGAGAACAAATAATAAAAAAGTAAATCATGTCCATTAATAATAAAAACATAACAAGAACTGACAAAGTTTTAATCGATAAATACGATATTTTTGTAAAAGTAGATAGGATAAGAAAGAGTGACCCGAAATATAAAAAAATAAAAGTAAAATTGAATAATGGAAAAGTGTTAGATAATAGAAATAGACACATACATCCGCAGAGAATTAAGAGGAAACACAAATTTGCAAAATAATTACTTAATTAATTATATTGTTATTTTTCTTTCCATTTTCAGTCTTACTTATATTTTTATCAACTATAATTTTGGTTGACGCAAAAGATATAAAGATAACACCACTAAATTATGAAACGGGTTATACTATTCTAAAGAAAGAAAAGCTGGATGTAAAATACTGGACACGTTTTTTTAATTGTTTAACCGTTAAGTTAGAAGTAAAGTTGTTGAAAATTTGAATTGAATTGAAATTGAAAAATATGGGCGTTCTGAAGTTTTATATTTGTGATTTTAGAAATCATTAGTCATATATAAGGAACTCAGCAAGTAAATTAATTTAAGGACAAGAAACCATTTTTTAATCTGTATAGTAATAATTTTTATTAACCTTTTATTAAATAGTAAATAGAGGTGAGTAGATAACATTAAAAGTGTAGTAGAAGCAGTGGTAGTGGCAGTGACAGTTTTTAAAATAAGCTGTTACTGATAATATTGGCAGTCACTGCCGCAGCAAGCACAATACGGCGTTGTCAGCGACTGCATTTTTTGACATTCCTTTTTGTTTGTATACATTTTTGTTGTTTCCCTTTAGGCTTCAGTGGCATCAACAGAAGTTCGCTGCGTTTCATTTATGTCAAATTCAACATGCGAAGTTTTCTGCGAAGAAGGCAGTAGCAGTGAATTTAGAATTTGGGCTAAACTGAGCAGTACTGCTAGGTGCCTTTGCTATATTGTGAGTCGCTTCATTGGACACCACACTTTCTAAAAAACAGCTGATGGGAGAAACTTCGTGAGAGTGCACCACACATTGAGCAAAATTACTTTTTTTGGGGGGCCGTTCCCACGACAGTCGAGTCTGCGT